CCCCAAATAAGCCACAGCTCCATCCTGTGCCCCGCCTTGGCTGAGAAGCCCCCACCCCCTTGCTTACCAGAGGGGGTTGATCTGCACCCCCATGCCCCCTCCCACCACACCAGACTTACCAGCTGCATGCAGGTCTCCACACACTGCTGAGCTCTGGCCCTCACTGCCTGAGTGCTTCACTGCAGCTGCATACACACACAAGCATTTACCAGCCAAATTACTGGCTGCATTGGGCTGATTTCCAATACAGCCAATTATCTTTATATCAGTACTGATCTGATATTGGACCATTGTATTATACAGTATACCTCTACTATTCATCACTGTCTGGTATTCAAAAGACATTACCTACATGCCTCAATCTTATAAGAACCTATTTCAACTAGAAAATTAAAAAAAAAATGCAACAATTAACGTTCATGGGTATACTTAATGTTTGTTACAGTGTTATGTTAGGGACTTAAATTTAAGAAGACAGTATCTGAGATAAATCTGCGCATCCTCAGAACAAACTCTGTAGACTAATCTACAAAGTGGAAGATATACACTGTTGTAAAAGTAACTAGATTTAGTACACAGTTAATCTCACTCTGAACCCTACAGAAACAGGAGCGCACAGAATATTTTTTGCAGAACCAAAACCAGAACTTGAGTTTGCCTATCTAGTGGGTCTGTATCAACAACAATGCTGACATACAAGTGTAACAGGGCCTGGGGGACTCTGATACTTTAGGAGATGCAGCAACCTAGCCAGGGAGCTCTGCAGGCTAGGCAGGGCAACAGGCAAATGAGACAATTAGCAGGCACCTATAGCCAGCCCAGGCAGTCACCTGACTGGAAGGAGGCAGAGGCCTGAGGCTTGGGCTGGCAAGCCAATCCAGCCCTGCTAGCTGCATGGTTAGAAGCTCCTAGTGGCACTTAGGGACACTGATCTGATTGTTTGCTGCCTGCAGGAACACTGAGGCTCAGGGAGCTCACAAGGAGCCAGGCTCAGAGGTATGCCAGCCCAAGGGTAAAAAAAAGGTTTGTCCTTTTAAAGAGGCAGACCACTGCTTTCGCTGTTGCGATTTATATTATAGCCTGGGGGTTTATATTTACATTACTATTTATACCGGCAGTTTGGGCTGGGATTCTAAGGAGCAGGTATGGAAGTCCCATTAGTGCCCATGGGGCACCCAATAGCCTTGAGCCCTGCCAGAAGCAGGCTCAAGGCTCTAGTGCAACTGTTCCCAAACTGACAGATTACACACCACCAACTTAAAATGATACAACCTTAAGTACAACCAGCAAAATTTGTAATATAAAGTAACTATAATTAAGTCTGTTAATGCATACCACTGACAGGTTGTCTGCATACCTCTGATGGTACACATACCATAGACTGGGAACTGCTGCTCTAGTGAGTATTGAGCCTAGAGTGGGCATAATGCAAGGCAGCAGTCACAGCAGCCAGGGGCCCAACTCCCGAGAGGGCCACAGTGAGACAGGGGCCACGGGCTTGGCACTAGAGAGTAAAGCAATCACATGAGGGGTGGGGGCACAGCAGATGGGGGCCAAGGGCCTGATGACTAAAAACAACAAGCAAGAGCTAGCGCATCAGAGCTGGGTCCGATACAGCGGGCCCAGTCTAGAAGGCCTAGTAAGATTCAAGGGGCAGAGACTGAGGAGGTAGAGGCCCCAACAGAGGAAACAACATTACAGTACCACCTGCAAGGCATGAGGCATGTTGTAGGGGAGGATTTGGAACCACCCAATTAGCCCTTAAGGCTTTGGGTGCCCTGCAATAACTTCAGCAGCCTAGTGAGGGGCCTGAGACTATAGAGGACCAGTAGGGTGCCAGGAAACCCTAGTGAAGGAGTTCAGTCAGACTGGGGCCATGCAAAGGTCCTTGGGCAGCCTCCCTATTTATCATAATACCAGGCATGGCAGGAGAGGTGCCCTAAGGCAGGGGTGGGCAATTATTTCAGGAGGAGGGCCACTTACCCAGTTTTGGCAAGCTGTTCAAGGCCACATGGATAGCCCCGCCACGTGACAGGTACCCCACCCTCTGTTCACCATCTTGGGACCAACGTCCCAAGGCCAGCACCAGTGGGGCCCAGAGCAGGGCACAGGCTGACAGGGGTCTGTGGAGCCAGGTTAGGCTGCACCAGCAGGGAGAGGGGGGAGCTGGCCCGACTCCAAAGAGCCCCTGCCAGCTGGGACCCTGTACTCCTGCTACCCTACTCTGGGCCCTGCCAGCGCTAGCCCTGGGACACTGGTGTGGGCCCTGTGCACCCGCTCACTCCCATTGCCCCCCAGCCCCGTGGTACAGGTGGGGGGGGGGGCAGTGCACAGCCCTGACCTCCTGCTCTCTGGCAGGGAAGGAGCTGGTGCTGAGCACAGGGAAAGCTGGCCCCTCACCTGCCCCGTGGCCAGCGCTCCCTGCTGCAGGGAGCAAACACTGCCCAGCGCAGCAAGTGGGGGGCCGCAGCTGCTGCTGCCACAGCAAAGCCCCTAACAGGTGAGCCCAGAGCTGGCATGGGACCCAGGCTGGCAGTGGGGGTGGGTTACAAGCTGGTGCTGAGCACAGTGAAAAGCAGCCCCTTGTCCACCCCGTAGCCAGTGCCCTGAGCTGCAGCTACTCACAACCCACGTGGGGCTGCCTGTGCCTGCTCAGGACAGCCCCGCACAGGCTGCTAGCAACTGCAGCAGGGAGCGCCAGGCACAGGGTGGGCAAGGGGCAGCTTTTCCCTGGGCTCCTTCCCTTCCCTTCCCCCCACCCCCTTACCCGAGTTTCCAGCACAGTGCAGTCAGATGGTCCCAGGCCAGAAAGGCCCTGCTGTTGCAGGAGCCCGCTAGGCTTCCCCTGGATTTTTTTACACACACACACACACACACACACACCCGCCCCCCCCAAAGACAGATAAATATTAAATTTTCTAAATTTTTTAGCAGCTCTGCAGGCCAGATAGAATGGCCTTGTGGACCAGATGCAGCCTATGGGCCATGTTTTGCCCACCCCTGCCCTAACAGGTGGGAATGGGGCATGGCTGCAGAACCACCAGGGGGTGTCATGGTATAAGTTACCAGTTCACTTTACTTTTACTCATCTTACCAATTCCAGTGATTTCTTTCTTAATCAGCTGCAATTCCATGTGTTGAATTTTTATCCTGACTAAGAGGAAATAAATTTTTCCAACAATCACATCCTTTAAGTGATACCTTTAGAGAGAACAAGGAAAACATTAAGTTAAAGGCTCACCAAATGCCAATTTTACATGCTCAAAAACTTAAAATAATGCATCTGCTTAAATAGTTTATTTCTGAAACAGGAAGGTTTGATTTTTCTGCTAAGCTAATTTATGAACTACCTATATGAGGCTAGAACAGTGTTTCTCAACCTTTTCCAGCCTCAGACATGCTTACATTAATACAAATTTTCCACAGCACACCTGTTAAGGCATTCCCCATCCTCATACCTATTGTAGCTCATTGCCATGGCAAAACTGTGCAGCCCACCTGTTCATTTATGACAGCACACTGGTTGGGAAACACTGGGCTAGAATGTTCCCATGACTGTAGTTCCAGCTGAGAATGCACTGCAGTCATCTAAGCAGATAGTACAATTTCAGAAGCCAAGTCAAAACTACTAGCAAGTTTTCAAGAAAATGGACATTAGCACCCTAATACTGCACCTAGCAACTACTGCAGAAATGTAATATTTGCCTTTATCTTGCATCTGTATTTAAGTAATTTTTAAATATCTCAGAACACATGACTAACACTATAATCAGATGTTATGGACTTAATTTACATCATACTTTCCTCATCCCAACTGCAGTTTCAGCATTTCTAGTTGTGCTTTTTAAAACTGTACTTACTTTGACTTGTTGTATTCAAATTCTATATGCAGGCAGTCTTCAATGCCTACTTCCATTTTAATAGAGTTGTTAACATCTGGATATGTAGCAAGTTGGTGAACAATAAGGTCATACTCTTTTACCAAGTCTGACAGTCTTCTTACTATTGTCACTTTAAGAAAGTACCTAAAAAGTACAGTTAGTAGAAACTCAGTTATGCAAAATGTATTATTTATGGCTGAAGTGACCAAGGTAGCCACATAAATTAAAAATAAGTTTATAAGCAGATGATTTTACTTTTAGTAATTAAACCTCAATTCCTTATTAAACCCAATCTATAGAATTTCAAACACTATTTGGCAAGGCTACAAGTGTTGCTTTCTAGATCTCCCCCAAAGATATCCTAGTCTCTCTCCTAGGCTGTCATATCAGTAATCTGGACACAAGTCAGTGCATGCCCTTGTTGCCAAGAAGGCTAACAGCATACTGGGCTGCATTATTAGGAGTGTTGCCAGCAGACTGAGGGAAGTGATCAATTCCCCTCTATTCAGCACTGGTAAGGCCACATCTGGAGTACTGTGTCCAGTTTTGCCCCCCCCCCCGAAAGGATGTGGACAAGTTGGGCAAGTTTGGCAGAGGGCAAAAAAAATGGTTCGGCGGCTGGGGCACATGACTTCTGAGAAAACGCAAAGGGAACTGGGCTTATTTGGTCTGCAGAAGAGAAGACTGAAGGGGGATTTGATAGCAGATTTCAACTACCTAAGGGGTGATTCCAAAGAAGATGGAATCAGACAGTTCTCCATGGTGGCAGATGACAGAACAAGGAGCAATGGTCTCAAGTTGCAGCAAGGGAACTTTAGGTTGGATATTAGGAAACTCTCCCAACAGAAGGGTGGTGAAACACTGGAACAGGTTACCTAGAGAAGTGGTGAAATCTCCAGCCTTGAAGGTTTTTAAGGTCTGGCTGGACAAAACCCTGGCTGGAATGATCTAGTTGGGGATGGTCCCAAGGTGAGCAAGGGGTTGGACTAGATTATCTCCTAAGGTCCCTTCCAACCTTAAATTTTCTATGATTCTATTTCCTGGACTTTCACAGCTACATCACTGCAACAGTACCACTACATGGAAAATATCAAAACTTTGATATTTGCAGAGGAAAATTCACCACTTGAAGGGGGAAACAAAAAAACCCAATCAAACATACAAACAAAAGGCAACCAGGCTACACCTTCCTCCTAAACTTTTGCAAGTAACAGAGTAACAGATTAGCCTCCCCAGGGGACTTACCATCTGTAACTCTTCAACTAAAACAGCTCCAAATGTGCAACAACTATACAGGAGAACCTCATAAAAAAATTAGACGTCATCATCTTCACCTCACCTACTCCAAAAGGGATTAAGTGAAACAGGACATACTTACCTATGATACTGACCTAAAAGACACAACCCAGAGACATACTTTGTTATTATGCAGCAAGCCCAAACCTACCCAAAAGCCTGACTGACATTTATCCAATGTTGTGATTTCACTCCTTCCTCCTTACAAGAGCCACCTCACAGTCAGCATACCAGCAACAAAGGAGAAAAATCAAGAAAGTACCATCTCTGCACCACCATCATCATTAATCTACCACAATGCTTCTTTCCTCGCTCTGAAATATCTGTACTCTCCAAAAAGTCTGCCCAGAGAAACAACTTAAAATACTGAGATGTGGAGAATCCTACTGCAAAACTTTGCCTAAGAGAATACTTCCACAACCAGGACAGAACTACCTGGGACCACAGTCCCACCACAGGTCAGACTGAAAACAAACAAAAAATACACATACCACCAACTGACACCTCCCAATAGATGGAACCACAAGTAACTTGGACACCAACTACTGTAAAGAACTTATGGAGGATCTCATACCAGTACCTGTATTTGCACCTTATAAAGACATTATCCAAATAGTTTCCATACTAGCTTGGGGGGGGGGGGGGGGAAACA